TGAGAGCACACTTCCAGTCACTTTCAGCTATAACAATGCCCTCTGCAGTTTAGCACCTGTTGCCAAAGCACACGTAATACATGATTTTATTCATTGAACTACATAAAACAGTCCTTCACGTGAAACTGAAAGAAAGGTACTCATTTAGTTAAAGATGTGCCCCAGGTATTAGAATGAATATTCCAGTTAGTGAAGGGATACCCACTGGGAGGGAAAGACAATGGATAAAGTAGCCTGTGTTACTGAGAGTGTTTTGAGACAATATGCACAGATTTGAGATTATAAACTACTGAACTGGTGTTTAGCAAAACAAAACAAGTCAAAACAAATGAAACAAACAAAACCTTTCATAGGTAACAATGTAGGCCTTGTACGCAAAATTTATGAACTTGGATTTCAGTAATGCATGTTACATCAAAGATCTCTAAATGTTTCCAAGCTGTTAAAAAAACTCACTTTGCCACTATTAAAGTACAGCCATGCTGGAGCTGGGATACAGTTGCTTTTGCAGCACAGGCATATCATTAAGATAAAAGGTGTTGGAGAATGGCGGGACATGATCCTGGGTATGCACCTGGGGAAGGCCAAAAAGAGCTAGGCCACAGTCCCCTGGGAACGTACAGACACAGTCCTGGGAACGCACCTGGGAATGCAGTGTGTACAAGCAAGGCTCTGGAGATAGTAACTTATATATAGATGGGGAGTAACTCAGCTGGGCAGATGGCAGATGGCAGGGGTAACTCGTCCTTGAGGGTGAAACAAACAAGTTCGAGAAAAACAGCTAGGAATGCACCCAAGCCTGGGAAAGCAAGAGATAAGCCTCACAGCTGCAGCTGTGAGTAGGGAGAGTACCTGAATGCTATCTTTAGAGCCTAGCCAATTAAAAATGATTGATAATTGTATGCCTGTCCTGCACTGTATAAAAAAGAGCCTGTCGGACAGTAAAGATGGAGCTTGCTGTATCACCCACACGGAGTCGGCCGCTTGCTTCCCCGCACGGAACCTTCACCTTTCCCAACAAAAAGGTGCAAGACAAAAAAGTGTGATGTCAATACAGTAGTCTGTTGCACCTTCTAGGAAAGTCAAACCACATTTCTATATTCAGGCCCTATGATAGGGAAGATATTTAAAAGCAAGAAAACATGGACAAAATTTTCAAGCTGTAATCCTTGGAATTTTGACCAGGGTCCAAGACAGGTTATCCTCATACCCTTCTTGCCTGGCTTATCCTCATCTGACTGTACCAGTTTCCTTAATAGTATCTCTGGTTTATGCATAATCCCAGAAGATATTAAGAAATTATAGTGGCAGTCCACACTGTTTACTGTGAGGTAACCATGCTTGAAATATCAGGAGGGATTAAATTTCTTTTTTTTTCCTTAATGCTAGTACTTTGGGTTTGGGGTTGTTTTTTTTAAAAACTTCAGAATCTTGTCCTTTACTGTACTTATGTTATGATAAATTTTGATCTTAAAATTCATGCCATGTATTACTATAGAAGTAGAGGATCTGTGTTTGCAGTGTTCGGTCTGTCTCAAAATTGGAGTCTGACATTTATTAGTGTTGTAGTCTTACGTGTCAAACTCAATGAGGTTTAGTTTTGGGAATTGTTACTGAAATTGCACACAAAGTATAAAGTGTTGATAGTTTTGTGTGAAAAGGTCCAAGTCTTGCTAGTTCATACTGATTAGAATTACTGATTTTTAGATAAAAGATGTTGTAATGTAGTGTTGCTTGTGTTGCCATTTTCAAATATGGCATAGAACAGGACAGGTTTGTGTGACCAAATATTATTGAGCTTTTATCTGTTTTTTATTGCTTGATGCCAAAAGCTGAGTTTAGTTTTGTTTATTAGTGCTGTCTGTTATTTCATAATTGGGTAAACATTAAGTTTTTGGAGCTCACATAAAATCAGGTAACTGGTGATCTGCACCAATTCTATGTCTCAATCCTAAACACTGTAACTACACATACATTTACACATTCTGGACATTCAGAATTTGATTCAGAGTTAACCTACTTATGTTTGGCTTTTGTTTAAACCTATCTCTGGACATAAAATTTAATGTTGAGGTAAGCAGAGCTATAGTTCAAGCTATTATGTGAGTTAATGGTCAAACATACTGCACATATTTCTTGAATACAATATTAGTACAAGTCATTCTGTATGTTTTTAGTTAATACTTCTGTTTCTTAGCTTTCTGTCTTTTTCCTTTTGATTACTTTTCAGGTCTGTTAACTTGACCATCTTTCCAGTGATGAAAGAACATTGGGAATTATGGACAAAAACATTGGAGAGCAGCTTAACAAAGCTTATGAAGCCTATCGACAAGCATGCATGGATAGGGACCATGCTGTGAAAGAACTACAGCAAAAAGTATGTGTTAGGTTCTGAATTCTATCTTTAAAGTCATCCTTCCTATGGAGGATGGTAGTACATGTAGATTTCAGTTTCACTTTAGCTGTGCACACTTCAGTGCATCTGTTAAAGTGGGAAATTGCCATTATGAAACCAGGCCAGTACACTGCAGAGTAACTCATTAGGCTGTGAATTTTGTAGGTGCTTTCTGGCTTTTCACCTTGATTTTTTTGCACTTTTAAAGGTGGGGAAATTGTTGTCTGTTTTGGAGGATTAATGAAGTCTTCCAGTGTAAACAGCAAAGATGTATATAAAATTTGCCTAGCTTCAATGAAGTACTTTTTGAAATTTATTTGCATTCTTAAAAATTACTTTTTAAATTACTAATGTAAATAGCTTAAACTAAACCACTTGTCTGTTAGTAGGAAGATACACCCCGTGAATTACTGGTTTACTTGGTGTAAAGTTCAAAGGCTCTAATATGTTAAGCACTGTGCAGGTTATTAGGACAGCAAAGTTATTCTGTTGGAACATGTTCAGTAAACATACCTGAAAATTGCAAGAATGAGTATTTATTTCACCTGGACAGTTATTCTTTGATTGCGCAACAGATTCTTGAGGCACTTTGACCAGCAAGGAACACCTTTCAATTTTTACGTCGTCTGTTGCGGAAAGCCCTAGTTCAGCCAAAACTTCTAGAACTTCTCACCGAGTAGGCAGCGTATTGCAAAGCTGTTGGGTTGCAGCTTTGTCACTGTGTTCTCGTCATATATATTCTGCCCAGCAGTGGAACCTCTGTTACAGGAAGGCTCTCATGGTTTTGCTGCTGCAGGGCTTTGTGATACTTCATAGAACTGGTGGGCTGGAACTTTGTTCAGGAGCAGTTGAGCCATAGTCAGTGTGAAGTTACGGAAGCAGTAGTAGAATTGGGAGCAGGGAAAGGTCTGCTAGAAAATACTCCGGTATCTGGGCCCAATCTTGCCATCCCCTTGCATGGCAAAATAAACTAGCCAAGGCATTGCAGAACACATATCAAGTCAAGTCACGTGTGCAATCATCCACTGTGCAGTCTGTCGCTATTCATAGTCTGCTGCAGCAGTGCTGGTGTAAATCTGTAGAGATTTCTATACATAACAAGCACCAGTAGTGTGATTTTGTGCTGAAATTGCAACTAACTTAACAAAAGAAAAGACTTTTAGAATGTTTAAGGAATCTTTTAAATTCTGTCTCTTATGGTGAACAATTAACTATTTGAAGGAAAATCAGTTAATACTGTTAAGAGCCACCTTAACAGTACACGAAAACCTTCTGCCCAAGAAATAAGTACAGCATCAGATAATCCTTCTAAAGTCTATGCAAGAAAACCAGAGAAGTGTGACATCATCAGCGTTAAGTGAACTACATGCTTGCAAGATTTCTCTCTGCATTTTCCCCATTTCAGAAAGAAATGAAAACCTTTGATAAAGGATTACTACCAGTTTAAATCTTTGTCCTAATCAAACTTTTAGTACTTGAATTTTTGACTTCAAAAGAGAACAAAAGTATTTTTATCAAGAAGAGTTGATACTGTGGTTACTTGGGGGTTTATTTGTTTGTGGTAGTTTTTCTTAACCAAACTCCTTGTTTTTGAATGACCTTTGTACAGCGCTTTACTCTAGTAACTTCCTCTGTTCATTGTGTGGCCTCCACACACTGTTGGATTGTCCACCATGCTGTTGTTAACAGTTTACTACTTAAGTTACCGATAGGCCACTTGTTTTGCCAGTCTCTAGAGCTGGGAGCCATGTCAAGCACACAGAAGCCAGAGTCATCTCGGCCAGATGGTGTTTGATACAGATGGATGGTTGGTTGTCATGCAGATCTTCTAGTTGGTAACTTGTTGCTGCCATCTGACTCAAGGAATAATTTGTGCACACTGGCTGTCAAAAGCATCTTCTCTTCTGTCTGTTTTAGCTGTCATGTCTGTGCTCTGTACAGAAGTGTTGACAAGACATTGCTGTTGTACATTTTCAATTTGGTTCTCAGTGATTTTTCTGCTTCATGAGGTCTCTTATAGCTGCTGGAGTGTACTGCTCTTTGATCACTTTTTTTTTTTTAAAATAAATCTCATAGTACAACTACTACCTGGCCTTTTAAAATAAATTTTGCTTGTAGATTTTTTACTGCCTGCTATACAGAAAAGCACACTGGGGAGTAGGAGGGCATGGAATTTAAATGTGGGTAAGCCTTGAAAATTAGATAAAAGTATGGGTAAATGATGAATAGACGTGAAAACAATGCTTAGTCTTGTCCCAGGTGGTGACCTGTTCAGTAATAGACATATTCTTAACTTCAGAAAAATTCAGTGCATTTCTGAAAGTTTTCTTGCTGAAATTTCACAACTTTTCTCCCTTGCTTTTAGCACTGCTATAATTGCAGCATTAGGCATGTGCTAATGAAAGAGTAGTTTTGAATATTAGCATCTTCCTGCCACCTGAGCATTTGTTTAATTATTGGGCTGTCTAGCAATATCTATACACTTTGGTGAAATATGAGCAATATCATTAGAGTCTGTATGGCCTGTTTGTAGCCTGAGGTGGAGTATAGCAGGTGAATGATGGAGCTGTTTGCCTGCCTTCCCCCCCTGCCCCATGATGTAGGTTAGAAAAACAAGTCCACTACATTCAAAGAAACAGACAAAACTGCTCATAGGCAATTAAAATTATTCACAAAATATCTGTTGTATGGAATAACCGACTTTGTTGTTTCCATTTAGATTTTTTCAAAAGCCTATTTTTAATGTAATTTGTAAGAAACTATGGTAGAAGAAAATTACATCTTTTTATAGGTAAAGTAACTGACCAGTGTTCTGAAGAATATAAAATTCTAATTTTAAGCCTGATGTCTGTGAATGAAGAATTCTCACTTAGAAGTTACCCTTTACAACTGCCACAGTTGAAACAGTTACTAAAATTTAGGATTTATTTCCTATAATGTCTTTTCTCATCAGTGCAGTGTCAAAAATACAGCCTTGCCAAAGGTTTTCAGGCAGAGGACCACCACTACAATTGTCTTTAAAAGTCAGAGTTGCTTTTTATATGCCAAATAGGAGAGCTATAGTCAAAACAGATTAAGATTAATGCTAATGAAATTGTATTTGCAGACAGAAAACTACATGCATCAAATACATGAACAGCAGGAAAAGATAGAGCTTCAGAACAGCATTATTGCAGAACTGAAATCAGAGCTGGCTGCTCTGAATGCTAATAGAGGTATGTACTTCAGTTTACACATTGCTTTGTATGCTCTGTTGCACTGATGGATAGTTCTGACTTTGCCTCAGTTTTTACAATATACGTATCTCAAAGGAGTATCATACTTTTCTGTGAATGTGAGAGTTAACACAAATGTGCCGTTTCAAGATCTATTTATAAAATGCAACACTTCTGAGGTTTCTCTTTATCCTCTTAAAAAAAATGGTGAGATTTTTGTTAGAGGTAGAACCTGCTTACACTGAAGCCAATAAAAGTTATGAGAATATGGGTTCAAATCATTCACTAGAATTAAAAAAAAATTGTTACATATAAATTTTACACTTATCTGTTATAAGTTTGTTTCAGGTTGTTCTAGATGTGAGTGCTATGATTATATGTCTTTTATGTTAGATGAGTCTTGTGATGCTAATCTTATTGGATAACCAGAGCTTTATAATCAGGTAATTCTCTTTCAAATCAAATAGTCTTTGATGGATAATTTTTCACTGTTTGACTGTATTACACAAATAAGAGAAAAGAGTCAAAGTAACCATGTGTTAATCTGCCATGCTCATTAAATATTTATTCACACTAGCCTAACACTCCTGGTTTTCATAAATACTAGCAAAGTGGCTGACTTTTATTTTTAAGAGTACATGTACATTCTTTATTGCTGATTTAGTCTTGCATTGTCTCTAAGCACGGAATTGGACTTCTTTTGCTTGTTTAATATGAAGGCTTGCTCAAAGAAAATAAAGAAGTTCATATAAGTCTAGCTTCCCTTAATTTTGCTTTTACTTAGAAGCTGGCTGGGGAAAATGTAGTGATAGTCAGTTGTTTGGTCTTTTCAATTTAAGGTAATGCACATCCCTACATTCTGATGCATGAAGACATTGAAACGTCCAACTTACCTTTCAGCCAGCTCTCTGAAAAACTGAACATGGCAAAGCAAAGAGAAAAATTCTTAAAGGTATGGTTGCCTGCAGTATGTTTAACAAAAATTCACATTTGTGCTGTGATTATATTATGAGAACCTGAGAGATGTGTGAGATTTTTACTGGTTCCTTTGAGCTGTGCCTGAAGTGCATGAGTGTTGTGCCACTGCAGTCCATTTAGGTGAACTAAACATCTGTCTTTGATCCTTCCCAGTGGAATCTCTGGCCATCAAGCTCCCTAGAACAGTTTTGATTATAAAGTAGGAACTTACTGGCTTATTTATTTCTTTATTTGCCAAAATCAGTGGTCACAAAAGGGCTTTTTATTTCTTATGAGTGCTCTTCACATTGCAACCAGTCTCTGTATTTTTGCAAGAAATGGGGGATCTGCATTCAAAAAGTGATGGAGTGAAAAGTGAGCTATCCATTGCTCTGGAGGCACTGCTGATTTGTTTGGGTTTTTAAAACAGCCAGTTTTAAGATGATATCTCTTCTGCCTCCCTTCTGTGAAGTAATACTGCAAATTTTCACTGCAGCCAATTGAGAGTAACAGGAATAAGAGTAAAGCAACAGTGCAGAATGGATGGGAAATGTCATGAATGAATTTTACATATTGAGACAAGACAGTGACAGAGATTGACAAACTTGCATTGTTCTTATCCTGTCATCTCTCTGTGTTTTTTGAGAACTGTCTTGTAACAAAATCTCTTATTTTTGAATATCAATCTCCATAGCTCCATAGCAGAAACCCTGTAAGGGTCATAAAAAGACCTTTATGTGAAATCAGGCATTAGATTTAAAAATAATTAATTTGAGGATTTATTGCCTAAACCTGAGCTACAAACAAATTAATTGTGCTAAACTCACAGAAATGCATTTTTTACCAGAAATGTTACTTGAAAAGTAATTTCATTGGATTACAGATGCTTGCTTAATTATTCTAAAGGAATCTCATTTGAGACTAAGCCTTTGCAAACCTTTTAAATGTACTGTTAGCAAATATTTATATATACTCCTATTTAAAAACAAAGCCTTTATATAACTTTTCTACACTAGAATCTATAATCACAAGATGTCATTTCTTTCCTGATCTTTGCATTTATTTGGATTACAACACAACTGAAGGGTTAATTCTTTGATGGAACATCTTTGCACATTTTTGCATTTTGCTGTCTTGAGTTGGATAAAAATTATGTCTTGAAGTTGCACATGGAGACCTGACCAAGTCTAGTATTTCATACTCTTGTTTCTTGTTTGCTAAAGAACAATAGTCTTAAGTAGTTTAGTCATACAATGAGTAGGAGAAAGGAAGTTGTGTTATCTGCTCTTCTCACAGGGAGACACTGTGAAATTGTATGATCTGTACAGGAGATTACAGGCAATGCATGAAAAGCTGGAATCGTTATTTCAGGAGATATTTTTCTAACAGAATGGAGGTTATTGCAGGTTTCTCTGCATTTTGTTTTATGCAGTCAGTTACTGTAGTTGCCTCTTAGCAATAGGTATTTCATCTGTATTTTGCTTCTTCTGTGCCATGGACAGAAATATTTCTGATATAACTTCATGCAGAATCAACTATCAACTATAGAGTCTGTCTGCATTTAAACCTAGGCACAGTGCTATACAAATAAGGTCTCAGAGGGAATGAGTAGAGATTAAAATCTATGCAAAATCAGGTTGACCCTGCCTACTCTATGTTCCTATTACTGGGAAGGTAGTGGCTCTCTTAAGTGCTGAGAGCATGGAGCTTGAGGAAAACATTAATGTTTAGTATTGTGTCTAGTATACTTGCATTAACCTGGCAAGAGTGATACAAGATGTCCAGACAGCACACCAGAGGCACACACACTCCTCCCAGCTCTGACTGTGTCTAGGCCATGCCATTCATGGGCTGCCTACAAGTGGAGATATGCAGCACTCTCTACATGAGTCCTCATTTTATGGAATAAACTCCGTGGAGAAGAACCATATAACCCCAACTTCCTGTTGAAGGTGATGGAAAATTAATTGTATTGTGATAAATGCTTTATATGCCTTTGTGGCAGCTGCCAGTTTTTGCACTTCTTACATGTAGAACTTTTGGTGTATGATGGATAAAAGGGTATAATGCATGGAATGAATGTGTGAAACAAGTTGAGGAAAACCTGAGAATTCCCATTTCTTTTGTCTTTGTGAGTAAGTGAAGTAAAAGTGGAAATAAAACCCCACAGGACAGGTAGTCAACCAGTAGAACCTCCTGGTTCAAGGGAGAATTGGACAACTTCATGGAAGAGAAATCTGTTGAGAGTTCATAAATACTTAGAAACTAATACTAATATTTGGGAATTTATTAAAGGACATATCATGAATGCCTCCTATTTTCTTGTACGTTTTTCCCCTGGCTGTCATATTTTGACATCTGTTAGACCGAAAATCCATCATCCTGTTGCTGACTGAGTTTGGTTGTCTTGGACCTAATTCAATAAAGTATTGGCTTTTTCAGGTATTGAAATTTGGAAGTTCAGATATTCTATTTGAAAGTCTGTATTTTTCTAGTCATGTTCTATCCATGTTCTGCTCCAAATCAAGTAAATTATGCCTATAGCCATTGTCCTCTGCAGCATCCTTGAAACTCAGTGTCTCTCCCGTGGCTGGAAGTGCCTGGGTTTATTGACACTTTGTGAAATTGTCTTTTGCTAAGTCCAGTGGGATTTTTCCATCAACTGTTTTCTGTCCTGCATTAAATTTAATAGAAATCCTAAATTTATTATAATAGGTGCATGATTAGAGCTTAAATTTCAGAGGTTTAAAATGAGGGAGGGGTTTATCTTTTCTGTCTTTTCTAGTAGGTGGCCATACTTGTGTATTTTATATGCTGTCGTCAAGTTCTGTTGCCTGTGTATCATAAAATGTTTTGGGAGTTATTTTGTTCACATTTGTCTTCACTGAAAGAGTTGAATGGTGGTCAGAACCTAACTATATACAAGATTAACAGATCTTTTCAGTCCCCTGCTTGAGAAGACCAAAGGGACCTATATTACTGCTTGGTTTTGAGTAAACTCTGGCTAAACTATATTAAGTAGGAAATTATTGTATCCAGTTACTGTCTCAGAGCCAAAACTGCCCAGCAAACAGAAAGATTTAGAGATGAGACAATGTCACGTAAAGTTTCTACTTTTCAATACAGTCAGACATCAGAATCCTTGGAAACTCCATGAAACATGAAGCTAAAATCAACACCTGTGACAAGAAAACAGGCTTATGATCACATTTTCCTGGTTCAAGAGTCTTAATATTAAATACTGTGTGGAATTTGTTGATTAGAATGTCTCGTGCCATGTGAAAAAAGAGGAAACTGTATGTGAGGAATGAATGATGCATATGGTATACAAAACTGTTCATCCTTCAAGAAGTGTTTAGGTCCTCTTTTTGTGCAGGACATACACAAGAATGGCAGGTGTGTGGTAGTCATCTTTATGCTCTAATTTATGGTGCTGAAATGACTTGCATAACTAAGAGCAGCTACTGCTGCAGTTTGTAGTGTTGCATGCTCCAGTCAATACCAGTTTTGCTAGTGTCACTTTGTTTCCTATCTTTGATGCAAAGAAAGCTGTACTTCTTAATTCTAGCTGACATCTTTATGCATTTATCTGTGCTTTGCTGCTGGTATGATGTATGCAGTAGGATTAGGCCTTGCTACCACAAATAAGAAATTCTGGTATCAATAGCCTTTTCTCCTATTACTTCATCTGTTTAATTTATATCTACCTAATAATAAAGAAGTGCTTGTGGGTAAACTGTTAAAAATATTCCTTGAGACCTCTTATAGTTCATCAGTTGAATTGTATTTTTCCTCAAAACTATCTGACATTTTGTTTGTTTCAGGAAGCCACTGAAACAGGCCATTACAGCACATTTCAGGGAAAAATAAAAGGATCTGCCTTTGCTGCAGTACAGTCTGGGGACTGACTGGCTATGGAGTAGCTCTACTGGAAAGGAGCTGGGATCTTGTTAGACAGCAAGCTGAGCATGAGCCAGCAGCACGTCCTGTCAGAAAAGAGGGGCAGCAGCTTCCTGGGTTGTATTAACAGAAGCACAGCTAGCATACCCAGGATAGTGGGTATCTCCCTCTGGGGCATGCACTGGAGTGCATCCAGGATACTGAATATGGTTTGGGGACCTCCAGTACATTGATAAATTAGAGTGAGTTCAGCAGAGGCCCCACTGAGATGACTGGGGGCTTGAGTACATACCCCATGACAAGAAGTTGTAGAAGCTGAACTTGTCCAGCCTGGAGAAGAAATGGCTTCAGGGGAAGCTAATAGCTTTCCAGTACCTTTGTTGAAGTTATCAGGCAGTTGAAATATGGAAGGTGCAGACTGGACATAGGGAAAACATTTCACCATGAGGACAGCCAGGCATTGGAAAAAGTTGTCCAGAGAGGTTGTGCAGTCTCCATCCTTGAGGAATTCAAGACCAAACTCAGTAACCTGATAGACATCATAACTGGCCCTGATTTGATTAGAATCTAGAGAATCCTTGAGGTTTCTTCCAACTTCTGTTATCCTCTGATCCTATAAAGCTCTCCAAAATAAAAGATACTGGTCTGTTCATAATACATCTGTAACCACTTTGCTGGCAGCTAATACCAGATCCAGTGTGTTGCCAAGTACTTAAGTGAGCAGGTATGACCTGTGTGACATAAAGTTTATCGATCAATACCTTTATAAACTTCAGCCAGTTTGTAAGTGTTACCACATCACTGCAAACCACCAAACTTAGTATTGGAAACTGTAAGATCATCAAGCGTGTACTATTGAAAGATCCCAAAATGTGTAATCCTTTCTCCAGTGTTTTTCCTGGTGCAGTATCCTGACGGTGCACAAGAATGATTATTTCCATCAGTATGTACTGATAGGTCTTCATTGCAACATTTTGTATGGCTCTTCTCATGAGGCTTTGCTCCCTGCTTGCTTAAATCTTGCCCACACTTCCTGCAGGAGATGGAGGAGAAATGGAAGAGAACTGTTGGCCATTATTGCGGTTATCTGAAAGCTTTTGAAAACTCATGTGTTAATTGGAGCTGTAATAGTCCCAAACAGATAAATTATGCTGTATCACAGGCTCAGTGAAAGTTACTTTACTGTCCTTAAGACAGAGTTGTTCTTCAAGGGCAAGTGTTGTCTTTGTTAAAAGGTTTTTCCTAGGTGTTTGGATTTCCAGCAAATATGTTGAAGAAAAATACAGGAGAAGCTGTGTCCCCTTGGCTTTTTTAAATGGGAAATGGAATTTGACTTGCCAGAAATGCAAAGCATGGAAGAAGGGTTAGGATTAAGGAGTTTTGCTTAGATAGAAATGTGCCATTTTTAGACAGTGTTTTGATGTCACTGAGCAGAAAAAGTCACAGTTGAGGCTACAGACAAAAAAAAAATGCCTTCAAAGCTATTTTTCTCCAGGGTTTTTTTTATCCAGCTACTATAACTTTTTGTGGCTAAGCAGTTGTGTCAACTGCATATACACACATCCATGCTTAACCACACACTGTCTTGGTAAACCAGCTCTGGGCCCATCCCTGCATGGCTGTTATTGTCTAGTACAGTAGGCCTTACCTGCCTAATCTCCAAACACACAACCTCACCCTGTTTCGGTCCTGTTTGAAAATAAAACAAATGGTCTTGAAAAAGCCCTTAGTTGTTTCTTTCGTCTCCACCAGGCTTTACCTGTCTGCAGGCTCTCCCACTGTATTTCACTTACATTATTTCTTGCAGAGTTAGTGCTTCGGGCTTACTTCTCTTGCAGAGACAATCATGGAGCTTTGGGACATTTTTTGTGACAGTTGATGCAGTTCAAGATCAGTGTTTCTATACATTTAATAAACTAACAACTATAAGGTTTTCATAGCAGTTTTTAACCACAGGTTGTTTCTTGAAAATTTTCCAAGTACTATCTTTGAGCATATTCAAAAAAAGTTATATTCTTCTTCATTCCACCAAAAAACCCACATACATACAAATTCAATGAATTACTATATTAAAGTAAGGCCAGCCACTGCTCTTTATTTCACAAATCTTTATAGGGAGATATTTACAATATAATCCTGGTTATACAAAACGATTGGGGTATGAGAGGCTGGATAACAGCCCTGAGAAAACAAATCTGGGGTTTGGGTTGATGGCAAGTTGATAGGAGTCAACAGTTGTGCCCTGGCAGTCAAAAGGGCCAAGTGTGTCCTGGGGTGCATCAGGCACAGCATCATCAGCTGGTCAAGGGAGGTGAGTGTCCCACTCTACTCTGCACTGATGTGAGCTCACCTTGAGCACTCTGTGCAGTTTTGGCCACAATACAAGAAGGATATCCAACTATTAGAGTGTGTCCAGAGCAGAGTGACTAAGATGGTGAAAGGCCTCAAGGGCAGGAGCAGCTGAGTGAAGGGTAACCTCATCGCAGTCTATGGAGGACAGGGAGGTGCTGATCTCTCTCTGGTCACCAATGATGGGACATGTGGAAATGGAGTGAAGTTACATCAGGGGAAGTTCAAGTTGAACATTAGGAGAAAGTTCCTCACTAACAGGGTTGTTGTTCAGTGAAACAGGCTTCCCAGGGAAGCAATCATGGCACCAAGCCTGTCAGAATTGAAGGAGTGTCTTGAAAATGCTTAGTCATGTAGTTTAGTTTTAGGTAGTCCTGTAAGGAGCAGGGAGTTGGGCATGGTGGTCCTTATGTGTCCCTTCCAATTTAAGATATTCTAAGATTCTGTGATTCTATTCTTGGGTTTTCTCAAGAGTTAAGGTAGCTGCATCAAATCACAATCTTCAAAATGGTTTAAAATTGAAATTAATGAGCTATTATGTATTGTATGTGCAAAATATACATAAAATGTTCATGTAAATAACACAGTAAGTGACCTGAGTGTCTATATTTATTATAAAGGCTAATATGAATTTAAGAATTTCAGAGCATATAGTTGTTTTGAGTAATCATGTGTGATGAGTTACATGTATGCGTAGTGGTAGAAGGTCTTTACTATCAGTTTAAAATTAATAATGTAATAAATAAGACTGACCTTTACTTATGTTGCAAAAGCTTAATTTAGCTTGTTCCAGACTGCTGAATATTATATTCCACAGCCTCAGTTCTATTAATTGTACTGATGTTTCTAAAATTATTTTTTAGGAACATTTAGAAAGTGAGAGCATGAAACTGAAGCAACTTGAGGACAAAAGCAATCAAAAGGAAAAGAAGCTTTTATCTATTATTTCCAACCAAGAAGATAAAATAAGAAATCTGAAAAGCAAACTGAAAGAGTTAAATGAAGCACAAAAGGGTATACAGATGCCAGCATATAAAAGGGAGGTAAGATAAGAAACTAAGTAGGGATAAAATGCAAAAGACAAACATTTATCAATATTTACTTCTTTCAAACATGAAATGTTTGGAAATTATACTAATATTCTAATAAGCTCACTTTTAATTTCTACATTATATAATTACTAAGAAATCATCCAAGTACACAAAGCACATAGGGAACACCAAACTATTAAATACATATTGGTTGGCTTGTATGTTATTTTATGTTGTGTCTTGATAATTTTCATATTTGTGAAAACTCCAGATTAGTATTTCTGGGTTTTTTCCAATTTATTTTTTCCAGTTCTCAGTTGGAAGTTTTCACCGAGATCCAGTTGATTTTTTCACTTTTATACCCCTCTATTTTTGTTACAGAATAGCATCCAAAGTGATATTCTGTCCTTGTGGGATAGCTAGAGTGCAGTCATCGATGTGAATCTGACCATGTATACATATTTTAGCTAGCTAATCTAAAGTGAATGCAGGTAAGGGTAGGGGCACAGCAACACGTAACTTGTTAGACTTCCCAAGCATTACTTAACTTACTGTGGCAACCTCTTGTAACACATGTTGCTAGGTATGAGGCAGCTCAAATATGTCTACAGGAGCTGCAGTTGCACTTTAGTACAAGGTCCGTGATCATAAGCAATGGATCACTGAAATTAGCTGATTTGGCAGATGTGATCAAGTTTGTGGCTGATTTGGAGCACATATGAACTACCCAGGCCATCTGGTGATGTAGCTCTAGTGGAACTGCAGCTTAATGACCAGTTGTTATGAAAACTTTCCTTAATGCCAGGCAGAATTAAAACTATGTAATACTGGAGTGAACCACACGGTGGTAGTCAAAGTTAATAACTTATTTAAAAACCTGCTTTAACTTCTGACATGTTAGCCGATGGTATGTTCAGTGAAAAATTCAGTGAATAAATTGATTTTAAGAGCTACCTCACTAACAAGTGTCTACAAAATACATAGTCTTACCTTCTACAAGAATTGCAGTCAAGCAGTATTCTCAGAACCAATTCCCTTTCAAGGGAGTATGACCAGAGAAATGCCACACTGAGTTGATAAGTTAAACTAAAAATGGGAATTTCACACAAACAACAAAAACTGCTTTTGTCATTTTGTGATGTTTTGAGAGCTTCCAGCAGGACTAGGTGATGGACCCCATAACATTTTTATTCATGTCAAGACAAAGCGCAAAATTAATATGCTAACATGCTCAATACTTTCATATTTTACTTCAAGGTGAAAAGTAAGAAAGTTGTTCCAGATAAGCCTGAATTATCTCTAGAGATCTCAGGTATTTCACCTATGCCTGGAAGGTAAATACTTCTACAGCATTTTTTAAATTTGCTTTTGTCTTTTCTGCCTTTAAGGTCACCTCTCTCTTTGCTATACAGTACCTTAACAAATGGATGGGGGGGCGAGGAAGGGAAGCATCAAACATCAAAGAGCTAATGTGGGAAGGTAGTAAAGCCTCCAACAATACGGAATCATAGCTGGGGCTTTACAAGTACGTAGGGATAAGGTGGGCGGAAGAAAAATAGCCACTTGGTTCAGCAAGAGGTTACACTCTGGAAAACAGCAGTGGATATTAATTCTGGGGTTTTAAAAAGTGTTAAACCCCTTGCATTAACTCTCTTTAGGACAGGAATGTACAACCGTAATGGATTAACTGATGGCAGCACAGCAGAGGAGCCTGCTGTGCTGCAAGGAGGAGGTCTAATAGTCAGCATGAAGAAATAATTCTTGGTCTGCTCTGTTCTAAATGAGAGAGTTTGAAATCAGGTGTATCTGTTGGCTGAAGCCAGCCAGCCCCTGCTATGACCAAAAGCAATAGATTTCCTAAGCAAGTATTCCCTCTTCTGCCAGTGATTTCAGAAAAATATTGGCCAAAGTCTTGGGTTTGCATTTTTCACAGGATAGGCAGTAATGCCACTTACAACAATTTTGCTAAGATCAAGTAGAAGATTCTCTAAGATGAGGTTAGGGGAGTATTAGGGGAAAAGATCATGAATTCTTGCTGTCTTATTCTCTTGCCTAGGCATCTGCATTTGAGCACTCCCAGACATAGGCTAGGTGAACTACATGGGTCTTTAGTCTGGCTCATTTCTCCTTTATGATAAGAAAGAAGGGAAGTAAGACTGTGATGTGAGAAAGACTTGTTTGTCTTTACTGATTTATATCTAAAATTGAAAACCCTTTACCTGTCTTCTGTCTCCTTGCTCTCAAATAGCTCCCTTACTTTACTGTTTTCTTGGACAGAGGTATGTGACTGGTAAGATTGCTGGTAATCCTACAGTAGTAAGATTTATTGTATCATGAATGTCTAGCAAATTAAGACTGCTTCATCTAATCATATGTATATTTTAAAGGTCTGATAAGAAACTTGAATCTTTTTTAAATCCCTGTTTATCGAAAATTATCAGAATGTGAGTGTTAACAGTACCAACTTTAACTTCTTTGGTAGACCTTTTCTGCAAATGAGATACAAATAGACACTTGTGTCTTCAAGAAGAAAAGCACAGCAGAAGTAGGAACACAGCCTGATTACTATATGAATAAGCAATAAAAAGGATAGCCATTCATTGGATTAAAGAAAAATCCCTTTTGAGGTCTTTTGGTACAAAGATGCATAAGAGAACACAAATCCAGCTTTACTTTTTCATCCTCAAAGTTCATTTTATAAAATCCATTATATTATGCTTTTAAATATAAATTACTCCGCAGGTATAAAAATTTCACAATAGAATTTTATGGCTGCATCAATACCTGAATAACCTAGTGCCTTTGGGCAGATTAACTAACACCAACACAAAGAACTGTTTGTACCAGATAACTAAATATCACATGTCCATATAATACTGTGGAAAACACATAATAATATAAATTCTTCAAAATAAAAGGGAAAAGTCATATGATATTGTATGAAACAGCGAAGGAATGAATTCACAAGCTCCTCTCCAAAAATGCCAGGTAGGCAAAGAAAATGCTTGTGCACTCCTTCTTCTGCAAAGTCTGAAGCACATAGGGAACAATGTTGTCCATAGTGGCAGCCTCTTATTTTCCATAGAGTAAGGTGGAAACAGTACCCTTGTGAAAGATAAACTGTTCTGCAAAATACTTGAGGGAACTAAAAGAATCCGAAGGCTGAATTTCTGGGAGCAGTCCTTGCAGGGTCCGTCCCTAAGATCAAATGTATGTGTGCATGATATGACATACATAAACAGCTCTTTGACAGCTCAGATATATATATAGATATAGAT